CAGTTATGTCTTGTCAACACAAAAATTGGTGACATGTTGAAAACATGGAGACAGCCTAAATTAAATGGAATTTTAATATGAAAATAAACAACACAGAGGCTGAGTGTTTTATTCGTGTTCAGTTAATTCATTAAAACCTCCATTTTCTAATCTAAATGAAGTTGATACGGAATTTCTGGTCTGTCACGTGGGAGAGCTGCAGGAGCCAGACACCTTGCTGCAGAATTTGAGTCCAGTTTGTTGTGGAGAAGGTTGGACCTTGATTATAATGGGGTGGGGGGGGGACAAAGGGGGCAAAGTTCCTTAGTGCATCTGTAGGTCTGGATCCATGAGGGATCTCAGTTAATTCAAACAGCAGTGGCTGGCTGCTTGTATTTGAAGGCCTGCCAATTTGCAGCCACTTGGAAGCCTGCTGGGCACCATTTAGGGTACAGCAAGGATACTGGACAAGGTGTTCCTTCCTGGCTGTTAACTTGCTGCTAATATCCTTCCCTGGCAGTGTGGAAGATTCTGAGCACTGCAGCCCATCTTTTGTGGCTCTGTATACTAGCATCACACTGTGTGAGAGAAAGAGCTATCAATACAGTGAAGTGGAGGAGGAGCCAGCGACTGAAGTCTGAAATAACAACAAACTCTGCTGCTCTGGATGGGTGCGGGGATGAATTAATGGTGGTGATGAGATATTATGAACCCAACATCTCCTGGCTGCTCCCGTTGTCCTGATCTTCATCCACCCTCATGTGTAGGGAATACCAGGTGATGTGGTGTCATATAAAGGTTTTATTGGCACTTGTTTGGGATGGCTTTGTGAGATACTCATGTTTTTTTCACTCCCAAGCAGGTACGTGATCTCCAACTTGTGCTGGTACAGTCTTTATACCATGCCACATCCCCATGCACCCTCTCTGTACATTCTGCGGGCACTTTAGCTTAGAAAAAATGAATGGTGTTTGGAATTGATCTAGCCCCCTGAATCACTGCCTCAGGGGAACGGATGATGACAGCCCTCTTGGAATATGCCCTCCATCAGGGTAGCTGGTGAAAGACAGATTATGCAACAGACACCCTAGGGCAGGGATAGTCAATTATTTTTTGTCAAGGTCCAAATTTCTTGGTCAGGGTATAGTCCAGGTCAAGACTCCAGAGAAATATTTTTACACCTCATTAACAATAATGATGATAATAAGCAAATATTGGATTATTTGAGGGATGCTGTTGGGATCCTAAAGGAAAATCCTCCCTTTTCATGGTGGAATCTTCACTCCAGTCCCCCAAGCTGGACAATCAATCCAGAGACACGTCACACCCTGTATGGATTCTTCCCTTCTCTCCCTGATGTGGATTTCTCCATGTCTGACAGACTGCTGCCCAGAAGTACGTGTACCCTGACAGGACATTACCATTTATTTCCTTAGCCCTGGCTGCAAATCACTGTCCTTTTCTGTTCTAGGTGTGGATGGATGCAGGCACTCAGATCTTCTTCTCTTATGTTGTCTGCCAGGGGTGCCTGACAGCCTTGGGCAGCTATAACAAGTACAATAACAACTGTTACAGGTAGGAGCAGCCTGTGCCTCTCTCTCCCTCTCATATCCGGCTGAGGGCTGTGTGGGCAGCCGAGCAGAATGTAGTTGGAGCTGTGGCACTCACTGCCTCGAAATCACGCGTGGGGCCCACGCCATTTTGTCCTATGCTCTTCTCAGCTCTTGCAAGGAGACTGCCCAGGAAAACCCCGGGGCTACAAGAAATGCCTTTGGTGGCTCTGCCGGTGGCACTCGTCCATCTGGGCAGGGAGAGGGGACACGGGACTCCTGGAGATGCCATTGTTGAGTTGATATGGGTATTGTAAAATGTTATCTGATGTGGAAATAAGATTTAGTAATGCATGTGGCCAAATTCAGTTCAGTTACCTGGGTCTGATCTCGGGGAAATTACACCAGATTCCCAGTGGTCTAAAGAAGAGGAGAATCTGCCCCATAGCATCAAATGCCTTATTAAAATCCTAGCCCCTTTAGTGGACCCTGTGTGTGTTTTAATTCGATCAGAAAGAGCAACAGAAAGGTTTGTCTGGCATGTCAGGTTCTTTTTCATCCAGTGCTTATTGCTTCTAGTTCCTTTTCCTCTCAGGCCTGATCCCCAGCCCGTTCAAGTCAATGGGAGTCTTTCTATTGGTTTCAGAGGGCTTTGGATCAGGTCCCTTGTTATTTAAGGATCCTTTTTCTCTCAGTATTTGTTCCATTGCTCTACCCTCATATGATGATTCCTGCTGCCCCTTGTTGTGCCAAGTCCCTAGTGACTTCACTGGGGCATCCTGCTTACAATATATGGCTGCAGCCCTCCGTTATTTTTATTGCCAAGTATAATCATGTAGTTCTTATAGTGCCATGGGTCAAGGCCGTAGGCTGCCGAGTTCTGTTTTGGGCTGCTGGCCTCTGGAGGAGTCTCAGGCTAGTGTTAGTGTAAGCAAGTGCATGGATTCATGTCCCATTCAGAAAGCTGAGCACAAAAGCAATTGCCCAAAGTGGTAAATTTGCAGAGGAAAACAATGCCGTCTCTCTCTCTCTCTCTCTCTTTGGTTCTTCCCCAACAGGGAA